CTTGCTTGCTTGCTTGCTTTCTTTCTTTCTTTCTTTCTTTCTTTCTTTCTTTCTTTCTTTCTTCTTTCTTTCTTTCCTTCCTTCCTTGCTTCCTTCCTTCCTTCCTTCCTTCCTTCCTTCCTTCCTTCCTTCCTTTCTGATTTTGTTTATTTATTTGAGAGAGAGTGAGCATGAGAGGGGGCAGGGTCAGAGGGAGAAGTAGACTCCCTGTTGAGTGGGGAGCCCGATGTGGGACTCGATCCTGAGACTCCAGGATCATGACCCGAGCCAAAAGCAGATGTTGAACCAACAGAGTCACCCCGGCACCCAAAGATAGCCTTTCTGACACATGGTCACAAGGTCAAGAGTAGCTTTATGCTGCATCTCAATACCTAGGTCACTCACCTCAGTTCAGCTCATCATGTGGCCATTTTATCATCTTGCATTGTCACAGGAAGAAGGGGGAGTCCAGTACAGTAAGAAACCTTGAGAAAGAGGCCACATTCGCATAACTTTATTACTATATATTATTATAATTGCTCAATTTTATTATTGGTTATTGTTAACCTGTCACTGTGTCAGATTTATATATTAAACTTTATCATAGGTACATGTGTATAAAAAGAAACAGGATACCTAGAGTTCAGTACTATCTGTGGTCTCAGGCATCCACTGGGGGTCCTGGGAGGTATGCCCCATGAATAAGGAGTAGAAAGAAAGTAAGGAAAGCAGAAAGAACTAGCCACAGACGGGGAATCACAGACAGGGATGGGTCCCAGCTTGCCTGTCTGCTCACCCTCTGACCCTGAGGAAGGCTGTCTTCTGGGAAATCTCAGCAGGATGGGGGTGGGAATGGGGCTGCCTTCTTCCCAGGGCTCTGGGCTCCTCCCGGGGAGGATGGAACAGCAATGTCAGGGCAGGGGCTTGGTGACTGGTGAGCTGTGTAGAGTAGGAGGGACTGCCTGGGCTTAGCGTCAGCTGTTCCTCCCTGCTCCAGCATCAGCTGCTCACAGTCGGTTGCAGCTGGAAGGTGCTTGGAGCAGAGGCAGGGTGAGGAGGAAAGTCCATCTTTGGAAAATGCTCTGCAAAAGTCATGGCCACCACCCCTGTCCCCACCACAGCCCAGCACTCCCCACCTGCATCCTGCTTGCAGCCACTTCTCCGAGTCTCCTGATGCCAGACACAATTCTCAGCTCCTCACTGTGTCCTGGGCCAGACCCTGGATGCCAAAGAAAGACCCCGGACACTCCCCTGCTGGACTCCCTTTACCTCTGAGACCCTCTTTCTTCTTCTTTCCTGTACATCCCTGTGGGGACTTTAGCCTCGGGTGGGGGGTCTCTCACATCCTTCCTCCTAGACGTGTAGGCTGACTGGGCGGCTCAGGTACAGAGTCTTCATGGAGAGGACCTGTCAT